AGTGTCAGCCTGTCCCAGTCAGCAGCCTGCAGATCAGGCAGAGCAGCCCGACAGCCAGGTGCTACCCTGGCTATGCAGCACAAGCAGTGCAGAGAGCGGGGACCCAAGGCAGCATGCGGGTGCACACACACAAGCCTGCATCAATTCTACCAGACCAATGCGGTCCCAGGCCTGACCTTCTGTGGAAGGGCCCAACCTTAAAAAAAATGGTGCCCTCCTGTACACTACTCGTGTGCAAGCTTCACACAGGGGGAACAATGGTCCCAAAACATTCAGCTGCCGCGCCAAAGTCCTTCTCCACAGGCTCCTGGGCCCCTGCTCACACCGCCACTCCCTCTGCCAGGGACTGGGTGAGTGCTCACCAGTGAGTGAGTTCCTGTGCCAGCTCCACAGGAGGGCAACTGGGTCTCTAGCTGCCCTCCGCCTCACTGAGTTGAGCAAAGAGAGTCCTCACTGATTTTTACTGCCAGCTATTGTGGAACTCCTCTTCCTGGCAAGGTAACTCTGGGCTGGTGAGCTCTGCATGGGGCCGGAGGGTCCCTCCCCCAACAGAAGAAGCCTCTCCGCTACTGAGGTGTCCCTCGCCAGGTTCACCCTCTCTCCGTGGGCCTGGAGTCAACCTGCCTCACATCTCCCACACTCCTACCAGTCTCGATGTGGCCTCTTCTTCTTTTTTTTNAAAGGTGTCTGTGGGCTGGTGGCACCCTTTGTGTGCAGACCAAGCCCTTACTGTAGGCCTTACCTGTAGGGTCTCATCTGCCTGCCAGTCTTCCTGACTGAAACATCCTTGGAGTGGTGTGAGTCACCATCTGGGGAATTTGAGAGTTTTGAACGATCCAACGACCAATGTTACCTCTCCTGTGGTGGTCAAGTTCTCTCCCTCTTCCAGTCAGCTAATGTATAGCAGTGTCTTGTTGGTGTGAGCTTACTACACGCCGGGCCCTTTGTGGAGTGTCTAAGCTGCTTTAAATTCTGCACAACCCTGGGAGGGAAGGCCTGTGTCCTCACTGTTCAGGTGGTGAAACCTGGGGTACAGAGTGGGCAGTTATGCTTGTCTGTGCCCGTTGCTGAGCCCCCCGCTGGTAGTTTTGCCTGGTCAGGATTACCATCTGATGAACCACGCACAGGCTTGGCATCCTCCACCCCTTTGGTCATTGGGCTGTCCTGGCATTTTCAGTCAGTGTGCAGAGGCCAGAATCATCTCCCTGTGAGTGTGACCATCTGAAGGCTACTCTGTCTTTTTAAGGCCCGTTCTCAGGCTCCGGAGAGCACTGGCATGGTCCGATAGTGGCATTGGTCCGTTTCCACTACTGTCTTAATATTGGTGTGAAGCGGGCTCCCTGTGTGTGGAGTGAATGATTGAGTTGACCAGGTCACCCACCTCCTGTGGCCCCTTCTGTGTGTAGTGCACTGGATGGTCCTCCTGACCATGACCTCTTCCTCTTGGCTGGGGTTGAGCAGCCACAGCTGATGTGATTGTGTAACTTGTGTAAGTCTCAGCTCCTTCTGTGCATTGGGATGTATCCATACATGGCTATTTATTGAGCGCTGGTCAGCGTTCATACTGGTTAGTGTGCTACCATCTGCAGCATCTTATATACTCCTCCCTGAACATCCAGGCACTAGATAGTATCATTAGCCCTCTTTGCAGCTGAGAAGCCTCAGCCCCAGCAGAAGGCAGAGAGAATCCAGGCAGGAAGGCCCCCTTTCATTCTGAGCTCAGCTGTGTGGCCCAGTGAAGATCACTTCCTTTTGTGGTGTCAGATTCCTCTCTTTTCACAATTCTCTAAGTCTTTCTGTCTCTAAGGTTTTGGGGAACATGGAACTTTGTGTCTTAGGGCATTTTTCCTCAGTGAAGCAAGTAGACTCTGCTGTTCTTCTCTGTTTGGATTTCTTACCCACACAAATTTTATAAATTCAGACTAGTTGGCCTCTGTTCTTGCCGTGGATAGGTATACACTGCCCAGATCAGATGCCTGCCATTTACCAAGACCATGAGAAGAGCCACTATTGCAGAAATGTTGGAAGTAATAGGAAGCCAAGGACAATCCTTCACATTGAATAAACTGAGTAAATTTGGCTTTATGAAAAGAAAATCATCACATTTCCATTATTTTTCTCCTGTTACCCTCAACTGTGAAAAAATGGCATTTAGTATCTCAGGTGACATGTAAGTGTCCTGTGAGGAAAACATAATGTGCCTTCTGTGCCTGTGACTGAGTTGATGGCAATATTGTTAGACATTGTCTTGAGTGGGACCTTTGGAGAATCCCAGCTACAAATGCCCATTTTCTAAAAGCAGTTGCATAACTGGCAATTGTAACGTGTACCATGGTAGGCAGTGTGCTGTGCATTGCCTCAGGGAAGGGGCATTGCTGAAGTGATTATAAATGCAAAACCCTAGTTTTCCATCCTTTGATGAACTGTCCTATGCTTGTTTTGAGCTCTGAATTTTAACCTTTCTTTAGTGAATTTGCTTCAGTGAGTTCTTACCTTGCTCAATGTCGATGGGTCAGTATTGATGGGCGAGCGTTTTCGGAAGCTGGTTTCCTCCTGCTCTTCCTCAGAACTGTCAGAGGGCAAGCTGCATCCCACTTTTATAGACCAGTGTCTCTCAGGAAAGTCATCAGACCTGAAGCGACGCGATCAGGTGTGCTGATAAGGGTGGTGTGATACAGGCTGATTTCCAAGATCAGCACCTGCTAATGGCTGTGACATTTGTCAGTGTCTTTCTGAGAGATGTTCAGGGTGCTTGGAACTTTTACAGAGGGGGCAGCCAGGGCAGGTATCTGTCCCCTGTGTATTTTAAACCTTTACAGGCCTGTTATCTTAGAGCCATGTGAGTTCTCGTGAATGGCAGAGGAGAGGGATCTATGAGGCTGCAGGTGCCAAGTCTCTGAGAGCCCTGTAAGGTGCTAGTGCTGTGTCCTATCCATAGTGGTCACTCAGCACTGAGTGAACACACTAGGGTGTGGATCTGAGGGAGAGGGCATAGGGTCCCTTTGGGCAAGGTGTTTAGGGATGGGCTCCCTGTGAAGTGACATCTTATATCAGATGTGTGTGATATGAAGTGTCCAAACATGCAGAGATTCGGGAGTCAAGTGATGGCTGCACAAGGATTGGAAAGTACACCTTCAAGTGGGTGAGAGCATGAGTTCCAGGCCTGGGGGATTTTTTTTAAAGTAAAAATTGTATTTAGTTTTTAAAGTAAATTAAAAAGTTTATTTTTTTAAATTATTTTTAAAAAAATTTCAGGTGTACAAAACAATGCAAGAGTTGCCCTTTTCACCCCTCACAAAATGACAACCTCCCTCCCCAATCCACCGCCCCCCCGATATCATACATATATATTAGAATTCCATTGACTCCATTCCCCACACTATACTCCATATCCCGTGGGGAAAAAAATATATATATAATTATAGTTGACATAGAACATTATTCAACATCAGCTTCAGGTGTACAGTGCAGTGGTCAAGCCTCTACTCTATCTAGAAGGGGTCTCCCTAACAAAACATGTGTTTATCTGACACCTTACAAAATATTTACAACATTATCAATTATATTCCTGAAACTCTCTTTCATATCCCTGTAGCAATGTTGTAGTTACCAATTTATGCTGTCTATTCCCTTCCCCTTCTCCTTCATCCCCACCCCCCTACCATCTAGCAACCATCAATTTTTCCTCTATATCTCTGAGACTATTTCTGTTTAGTTTGCTCATTTATTCAGTTCTTTAGATTTCACATATAAGTGAGATCATATGGTATTTGTCTTTCTCTGACTGACTTATTTCACTTAACATAATGTTCTTCTCTAGGTCCATCCATATTGTTGCAAATGGTAAGATTTCATTCTTCTTAATAGCTGAGTAATACTCCATTGTTTGAATGTACCACAGTTTCTTAATCCAGTCGTCTACCGATGGGCATTTCTGTAAAAAAGTCAGTTGTTAGTCTTATAGGAGTTCCTTTGTATGTAACCTGCTGTCTTTTCTCTTGCTGCTTTTAGGATTCTGTCTTTGTCGTTAACCTTTGCCATTTTTACTATGATGTGTCTTCGTGTGGACCTGTTTGNGGGACTGTGCAGCCGTGGGCAGCCTCACAGTCTCCAGAGGGGAACATAGGACCTGGCACACCCAATTCAGACTGTCCCTCTTGCCTCCTCTCATCTGTTCTCCGGCCCAGCATCTATCCAGGCTCATCTCCCCAGCACTGGCTTCTGTCTGCTCCAAAGGGCACCCCTTACATCCTCACACTCCTGCTTAGGAACCATCAGGGGCTCCCATCATTCACGGCAGAACTATCTATACTTTGAGATTTCTCACGCTAATAAAATAAAGAAATGAAAAACGTGGGGCTGGCATAAGTTACCAATTTTCCCCACCCCCATGACCTGGGGCTTAATTAGAGTAATTTCACCTTTTCTCTTGGCTTCCTCCACTACTAACACAAATGACGATGCCAATAGCAGCAATGGCTATGAAATGTTGAGCACCGACTATGCCAGGCAACTTACAAACATCATCTCTCTGCTTCTGAGGAAGGTGCTCTTATTTCCCCATTTTACAGGTGGAGAAACTGAGGCTCAGGATGATAAGGCAGCTTATCTAAGGCCAGGCAGCCAGCAAGAAGGGGAATCAGGACTTGAACCCAACTCTGTCTGAGGCACATCAAGTGTGCTCTACGAGTAGTTGTCTGTTTACACCTCTGTGTCTCTCCTGTTGTCAGCCCTGTAAGGCTGGGCATTGCCTGGTTCATCTTTGCATGTCTAGGCTCTGGTACCAGGAAAGGAAGTGGGCTGGGAATTTGGAGATGGGAGAGCTCATTTCCAGCTGGATGATCAGGAAGGCTTCCTGGAGGAAGTGGATTTTGATCAAGGCTCTGAGGGTGGGTGGGAAATGATTGAAAGGGGTCCCAAATGGAGACTCAGGCAGAAGACGTAAAGCACCCACCCTCAAAACGTTGGGGAGTGGGTGGATGGATAGCAAAGAGACCTACCATTTTCATTCGGCAGCAGGACAGATTCAAGGATCTCGGTGATGATGTCTTTGAGAAGTTCAGGCTGTGAGGCAGAAGGGACATCATTACCTGGGCTGAGAAGCCAAAGTCCTCCTAAACATCCCTCAGATGGACACAGTCCAGGCCCATGGTGAGGACAGCTGGTAGAGATGCTGGAATCCCAAGTCCCCTGCCAGTCAAAGCCATAAGGGCTCCCGGGAGTGGCACAAACCCAGCTGGCTCTGGGGCCTGGCAAGTGGGAGGGGCTGGGGTACATTAGAAAGATGTACTCCCTGCCCCCCACTCTCAGGGGCTCTACTGGTCTGTTGCAGCAGAATTGCCCTGAGGCAATTTTGCCCTGCGTTTCCTGAGGTTTTTGACTTCTCGCGGGAAGCTAGAAGTCTTTTTTCATGTGGAAACCTTCCATTTAAAAACATTAGTAAACAAAACAAAACAGATACAAAAGGAGCTCCCCCCACCAAAAAAACCCCCCCAAAACCAAACAAACTCTAAAACCCACAGCATGGCAGAAGACAGGCTTCAGCCAATTTGAGATGTCTGATTTTGTCTGAGTCAGATGGGGAAACTGAGGACAAGAGGAAAGGGGCTGTGCAGGGTCACTAAGATGAGTCTATGTGCGCAAAATGAGATTATAATTAGAAGAGATTCAATTTCTAATTTGGGGCCAAACTTCACAGAAGGAAAGTGAGTGTGTGTCGGTGTGTCTGTGAGTATGTGTGTTCTCAGCTGTGTTCGGCATACAGTAGGTGCTCAGTAAATACCTGAACCAGGAGGCTGGACTCTGTGGCTGATAATGGGGAGGACAACCAGCTCGCCATGGGGCTGCCCATGGGGACCTTGTTCAAAGTGCATTCTGGGCAGTGTCTCCTTATGAAATGGGTCATCCTGGGCTGTCCCGTGTCCCCAGGGACAACATGTTAATACTCACGTTGAACAGGCCAATGCCTGAGTTCATCAGGTGGATTCGATCAGAGCTGCAACAGAAGATACCCATGAGAGTGGTCCCTCAGAGCCTCGTTCTTTCATCCATCCACCCATCCATCCATTCATTCATTCATTCATTCATTCAACAACTATGTATTGAGCACCTACTATGTACCAGACACAGTGCAGGCTTTACAGAAACAGCAGTGAACCAAATCAAACCCTTGCTTCATGGAGCTTAGACTGTGACTGGGGGTGTGGAGGGTGGGGAGACAGAAAACAAATAGCTGCCCGAAGAACAGAAAAATCATCCTCTGGAGTGAGGGCTGTGGCGAACGGGGGATCTCGGTCTCCTTCTAACAGGGGTCCCTGATTCCATGTAGGCATGCAGGCTCATGGCAGCCAGGTATTCTGATTTTTATAGTTGGCAACTCATTTATATTAAAATAGAAGACCTAGCCCTATGTGGGCTGATCAAAACACACCCATGCACTTGAGTTGTCCTAGGAGGGTCTAGTTTGCAGCCCCTAAGCTCCCTCTCAGGCAGCAGGAGGGTGGTGGGATGCGGGGAGACCAGGTAAGGGTGCAGAGGCAGCTGGAGCCTGTGCTTCTGGGCATGGCTGTCACTGCCACTATCTTGGAGGGGTCCAGAACAGGCCACCCAAAGCCAAGGGAATGGTGCTGGACAGGTTTTTCCCATGACTAGGGTCTGCTTGCCCAATGCTGCTACAAGGCCACTCCCCTTTCCTTCTCTGTCTCTCATACGTGGTCCTCGACAGCTGGACAGTCCAGGTATGGCAGCCTTTCTGCATGTCCTGGAGTAGACTTCACTGGGATGCTCATACCCCAGGGACTGAAAACACTAGGTATTTAAAGAAACCCAGTGTTTGCCAGGCTGGACTCACTTTCATCACCAGAATCTTTACAATGATTTACCTGATTTCATTTAAGTTGAGCGTAAGTTGGTCACCTTCGGTGTAAAACTGAGCTTCTAAGCTGGCTTCCTGCAACAAGAGAAGCCCAGGCCCCATTTCTTTCAGAGGATGCATCAGGTGTGGAGTGTGGGGTTATGCAAGGAGGCTCTGGGGTCAAGCTGACAGTTGAATCTCAGCTACTGGCTCTGCGATCTTGGGAAAGGGTTTGACTTCTCTGGGCCTCACTTTCCTCATCTATTAAATGGGCTATACCTGTACCCACTCCCCACTGAACAGGTTACCCTGTAGGATTATTGTGGGGAGTGATGATGATGAGGATGACAGCAGCCAATATGCATGGAGCCCTCACCATGTGTCAGGCAGTGTTTTAAGAAGTTTATATGATTATTTGACCCTCACAACTCAATGAAGTGGCTCCTATTATTACCCCACCGTAGAGGTGAGGAAACTGAGGGACAAAGAAGATCAGTAGCCCCCTGGTAATGTTAACCATTATTGTAATCAGAAAGGTCAGAAGAGAAGCCAGGTCTCAAATACGGGTGCTAAACATATACATCAACCTGACCTGCGTGCTGGGATGAGCCTGAGGACAGAGTATCAGGCTCCAGCTCCGGTCGGCTGCACCCAGAGAACAAAGTTGTCCTGCAGGCCTGGTCCATGTGGCCTTTTGAAAAGTGCCTGCCATTGGCCATGGAGGGGCCAGGTCATCAGGGAGCAAGGCTGGCCGGGGCAGTCTATTCCCACTGCTGGTTGGGGGATCAGAATATCCCTCAATCCAGGAAGCCAGGGCACTGCGCATCCTGTAGTCTTTGTGAATGGCACCCCTGAGATTGTGTGTGGATAACCCGATAGATGTACGCAGAGACTCTGCTGTAAGGATAATGTCAACATGAGCCTAACAACCAGGAACTATCCAGACTCCTTGGTTAAGCATGGTTCTAGCGCCCAGCCACGAATCCTGCCACGTCTTTCTCTCTCCTTTGCCCTCGGTAGTGGGTGTGGCTGGTGCTCCACTCAGAGCCTCCTTATAGGGCAGGGCACCCATCCCTCTGCTGCTGAGCGCTGCAGCTAATGGTCCACAGCCACCCCCTTCTCTGGAGAAACGCCCTTGCTTGAACAGAGCTGTCTTGCTGGGAGGTTATGGCCCTCCTACCTCTGGGGACTGTTGGTGGCCAGTAACTGACTAACAAAAGAGTACAGGAGGCCTGAATGACTCAAAAAGTCACAGGATCAGAGCTGGGCCCCCAAAGCTCCTGATTCTTGGTTTACAGCTCCCTCTACTCCAACCCTGCTGGGTAATAAGCATGGTGGAAACGGTTAGCAAAGCAAGAGAAGGGGATAGAAACAGTGAATGAGAGGGTCCCCAGATTGCTGCCAATGTCACAGGCAATTGAACTCACCACACCCAGGGTGAAGAGGGGGCGGCGAGCTTCATTGGTGGGAAAGACTTCCAGCACCATCAGTTGGGCCAGCTTGGCACTGTCCTGGCTCAGAAGGAGCTCTGGGGTCTCCTGGATTAGGATCTTCACTATCTGTGTGCGTCCCAGCTGATCCGCAGCCTGGAAGGAATCAGACCTGCATGTGGCCTCCCAAGTGCCTCACCATGGCCCATAAGTCCCATGTGGCCCCATGTGGCCTGGCCCGTGCCCAACTTCCTGGCCTCCCTGCTTCCTCTCTGTGCTCCAGCCGCACGTCCTCTCAGACCCTGGAATGGGTTGTTGCCCTCCCCACCTCATAGCCTTTGGTTTTGCTTCGCCCTCTGTCTGGAATACCCTACCATCCAGGGAAACACTCCCTAGTTCCCCCAACTCTATCAGGTGCCCCAGTAATGCTCTCAGAATCCCTAGAATCTGTCCTTTGTAACTGAAATATTATCTGTATAATTATTTGATTCAGTCAACCTGTCCTGTTAGACAACCTGTCCTGTCCCTGAGGACAGGGACCCTGTCTGTAAAAGTCACCAGTGCTGGAAAGACGGAGAGGGTTTCCACAGGTATTTTATTCCCTAGAGGCCAGTGGACAGACCACAGCAAACACCCGTCAAGCTGCAGATGGCCGTTGGACTAACCTTGTCATTGATCACCTTGATGTTGGCCTTCAGCCGGCGGGCTAGCTCAGGAAGCTGAGGATGACAGGAAGCCAGAGCAGGTCAGCTGGAGGGGAGAGGGGAGACACACCTCCAGCAGTCCCACTGCTGAGAACCCCCCGGAACCCTGGAAGAGCCAAGCGGGTTAGTGGTCCAGGCTATATGTTTGTCACTGGTAGAAAGCAGCCTTGTCAGCTGCTGTGGGACATGGGGGCCCTGCTGGCCTGGACTTTTACAGTGGTTTGGTGGTGGTTGTGGGTCTGTGGGCAGCTCCCTGCTCCCAGAGGGCAAAGAGAAATGATCCAATTCTCACTAGAGTCATGAATGTGGTCGCCAGTGACCACTCCTCTTTTCTCACCATCTCAGCCCCTTACCCTGAGTTCTAATCCTCGTGAACTTGGTATCTATTGTCTGTCAGCTGACCTGAAGTCCTGACACCCTCCCATAACTTTGGGCCAACTCTTTCGCCCCGTGGGCCTCACTTTCCCTACCAGTCACCTTAGAGGAGGTGGCACACTTTGGTTGACTGGTGGTGGTTGCCTGCTGTGCTGTGTTGGTAAGGATTCCAAGGCTGTGTCAGCATTTGGGCTCAATCAGAAGGAGGGCCCTGATCAATTAGCGATGTCTGCTACCAGCCCCATCGTGGGCAGCAGTGGCACAACTGACATCCCTGGACCACTCAGTATCTAAGATGCCCTTTGGCATACAGTACTGTTATTTGTCAGAGGAGGCAGGTGTATCAGGTTCTGGAGGGCAGAACTAGGACTGGGGCTGGGTGTTACAGGGAAAGTTTCAGCTTTAGAGCTAGATGTCAGAGGCAGAGCCTGGGAGGAGAGCGAGGGAGCTCTCCATTACTACAGGGGTTTAAACTGAGCCTGCTGGGATTCATGTTGGCAGCTTAGGGGTCCTTGCACCCGCTTTGATTCAGGAAATTCTCACAATACAGTAGTAGCTCCATTAGTACAGATGGCTCCATCCTGTCCCATGTCGAGGCTTACCACATAGTCCAACAGGACCATGAGTTCTTCTGGAGGGAGCAAGGCAGCTATTGCAGCATTCACCACATCTTGCCTCACGGTGAGGCTGAAAGGGGCGCTGTCCAGGGTGGGTGTTGTCAGGGAAACCGCAGACTTATTGAACCAGCTGGTCACATTTCCCTGTGAATCCAACAATTTGGCCTACAGAGACACAGAGTAGAGAGTTGGCTGGGAACTTTAATCCCACAGCCTACCCAGTAAGAACCTAGAAGGAAATGACACCACTCAGCCTGTTTCCCTTTTTGCACTTGCTTCCAGGAAGCTTAACCTGGAGGTCAGTGCCTTGCTGTAGGTAATAAGTTATCTCTGGTGCTTAGCAACATATACTCCCCCTGCACACCTCAGATAATCTCTGATGTTTAAAAAACCTTAGATAATATGGATGGAACTAGAGAACATTATGCTAAGTGAAATAAGTCAGTCAGAGAAAGACAAATACCACATGATCTCACTTATATGTGGAATCTAAAGAACTGAATAAAAGAGAAATGTAAACAGAATAGTCTCAGAGACACAGAGGAAAAACTGAGGGGTGCTAGTTGGGAGTGGGTGAGGATGAAGGAGAAGGGGAAGGGATGAGACGATGCAAATTGGTAACTACAATATGGCCTCAGTGGTAGAAAAGACAGTCTGGGGAATATAATAAAAAATGTTGTAAATATTTTTTACGGGGCCAGATGGACTCATGTCTTGTTAGGGAGACCACTTCATAGTCAGTGTAGAGGGCTGACCACCGCACTGTATTTCTGAAGCTGATGTTGAATAACATTGTATGTCAACTATAATTATATATACATATAGTCACGGGACATGGAGTAGAATATGGGAATGGAGTCAATGGAATTGTAATAGATAAATATGATATTGGGGGTGGGAAGGCAGTAGATGGGGGAGGGGGGTTGTTTCTGTGTGAAGGGTGAAAAGGATAACTATTGCATTGTTCTGTACACCTGAAACTAACAATAAAAAAAAGACACCTTAGATATCTTATTCTGCATTTGGGTTTCAACTTCTCAGATACCTCACAAACACTTTGGATGAAGGAAAAAATTCAAAACTGCAACAAAATGAATGGAAATGTTTGATGCTGCAGTTTTCCAAGGGATCCATGAAAACTGGTCTGGGATTCAAGCTGCCCAGGCTGGCCTGGTCCCTTAGGGAGTTCAGCCCCAGTGTGAGTGTGTGGCTCCACATTTTACAAAGAACTGACAGTTATTGGGCTCTTTCTGCCTGCCAGACCCCATGCAGTCTCATTTCTTCCTCTCGTTGGTGATTATTATTATCTTACATTTTACACATGAGGACACTGAGGCTCAGAGAGGTGAAGAAACTTGCCCAAAGTCACACAGCCAGGGAGCCGTGGAGCTGGGAGGAGAAACTTAGGTCTGTGTAATCCTCAGTGATGTGTTTTGATCCTGAGTTCCTGTTTCAAGGTAACCAGGCATTTGGGATTGGCAGGGGCTTGCCTGAGAGAAAGGCCAAGAGCCCCAGTGCACACACTCTGGCCCCTGACTGGGGAAATTAGGGTCGGAGGACAGATCACCAGGGTCCATGTTCTGTGTGTGGCCCTTAGAGTCCACCTGCTATTTTTTCTCCATTAGAATGGTTTACATGGGACATGTTCAGCTTGTTGAGATTTTTCTAAATCAGCCTGTGTGTCCTAACCATGACCAATGTTTTCTCCCCTGAAACAGACCCATGGTGTCTGACCCGTGGTGGTCAGAGAAGGGTGGTGGTGTCCCCATGTTACTCTCAAGGTCCCAAGACACTCACCCTCAGGTTGAGCTGGATGACATCACCCTTGATGTCAGGAGACAGAAGGTCAAACTCCAGGTGGTCAGAGCTGAGGGAAACGGGCACTGCTCAGGAGCAAGAAGAAAGTTCTGTGAGGGTGGCGGGCAGTATTGGATGGGGTGGTTTGGGGGCTGCTTTTGGCTGGAGCTGCATTATTGCACGGTAAGTATCCTTATCACGGGGTAAGTAGGGAGAAACACTAGTAATGATGCAGCTGATAATGACAATGATGAAAATGATAATGACTGACATTTATTGAGCATCTATCAAGCGCCAGGTACTGTGCTAAACCTTTTTGGCTCACTTAATCCTCACAATAACCTTAGGAGGTGGGTCCTATTATTACCCCCATTTTACAGATGGAGATACCAAGACTCAGAAAAGTGAAACGATTGCTCATACCGTGAAAAGAATTGAACCCAGTTGGTCCGAGGCCATCGTCTTGGTTTGAAACAAAACTGACCTATTGCTCATAACTCTCCACCTCCCCGACTAGACTGTGATCTGCACCTGGGCAGGGTCTGGGTCTGTCCACCAGATTGCTCGTATTCGCCTCGTGATTCCCCACTTGGCCGCCAGGGGGCGGTGGCGTCTCATCTGCCCTAGTTGTTGGGTGGAGAATGGGGAGGGCCGCAGAGGGGGCGCAGGTGCGGGCGGGGGTCGGTCCTTGGCCCACCTACTACCCCCGCCTTCCCTACCCTCACCTCCCCGCCTGCCCCCTGGGAGCAGAGAAGCCAGAGAGATTTGGATGCTAGCCACAAGTAGCCTTGGGAAGTCTCTTCCCGTCTCAACCTCAGTTTGCTCATCTTAAAAAGGGGGGGGGGGAGGTAATAGTAATACCTGCCTTATAGGTTGCACAGCACAGGTACCTACTAAAGTTGGCTCAAATCTGAATTATACCAGACTTGGAACAGGAAGAATTGGGTTTAAGCCTTCCCCTATCACTAACTTCCTCTGTGAACTTGGACGAATGACTTAATTTCTCTGAGTCTCAGTTTCCTTATCTGCGAAGTGAGGTAATGATCACTACTTCATGGCGATGTCTGAGGAGCCAGCCAGACAGTGTATATAAAACACCCAGCTTAATATTTGCTCTATGTGTGCGCTGATTCCATTCTCTTCTTCCCACTCCTCTCTGCTCACCCCTCTGAATGAGCCTCTTCAGATCCCCAAACAGTAGACGGTAGGATTTTCTTCTTCCCGTCAATCCCCACTCCGAGGAGTCTGAGCACAGCAGAATACCGAGGTGGGGGCAGAAGCCTGTGTCCTCATCTTTCTACTCTCGGGGAGGGAGAAATGGCCTCCTTCCTGAGCACACATCTTGTCTCTTCCTTGTTCCCTCTTCTCTAATAGCCCATGGTGGCTGCTATATCGTTCATTCATTTATTCATGCAGCACACATTTGAAAACACTTCTCTGTGCCAGGCAGAGCACCTGCTATGTGCCTGGAACTTTCCTGTAAATATTTAATCCTCACTAACAATCCTGTGAGGTAGGATGTGTAAGTCCCATTTTACAGATGAGGAAACAGGATGAGGAGGTAGAATTGGCTTTCCCATAGTCACGGAACAAGTCAATGGAAGAGCTGGGATTTGAATTTGGGTTTAGCTGGGGCACCCGCTGGCTCATATGGAAACTTGCACATAGTAGGTACTGGTGAAGTCGTAGTTGTGTTCAATTCCTGCCTCATCCCAGGCAGGGATCAAATGATACTCCTACCTGCTGCTAGGCTGAGTTGCTGCTGCTCAGGCTTGACTGGGGAAGTGCCCCCTGGGCAGAGCCAGGGCCTGGAGGCTGGCTCAGCTGTAAAGGAAAAAGGTGGGAGAGAGCAGTGCACTTACCCCTCACTAGGCGCAGGAGGTCTGCATACATGTCCTCAAAAGCTGCCTTGATCACGGGACACAGCTGTAGCAGCACAATGCAGAAACTCCATCAGCGAGGGAACCAGAACACAGTCCCACAGTGACCCATGCCCAGCCCACATGGCCTGAGTCCCGCCACTGTGCCCACGGCCAGCCAGGCTTTCGTCTGTGGGGTTGAGGACTCAGTGATGCATCCATTCCGCCAGCCTTCCCTGCTGCTCAGAGCCCACCCCAGTCCCCAGTGTCACCTGGGATCTTTTGCAGTGGTTTGTCCCTTGCCCTATGCCCAGGGCGTGCCTGGCTTGCCAGGTGCCCTCTCCATTAGACTTCTCATCTTGTTCCTGAGAGCCCATGTTTTCCATGAAAAGGAGATGAAGAAGTCATTCCTTCATTCACTTATTCAACATGTCACTGCTGAATTCCTTCTGCATGTCAGACTAGAACAGAGGCCAGCAAGACAGACCCAAGCAGACTCATGAATAATCTCTCTGTGCCCTTTGTGAATTTCTGGCCCCTACGCAACCCTTTGCCCACTAAACTCTTCCTTTCCCAAACCCAATTGCCAGCAGTTCTCATCAGGAAGCAATTTTGTCCCCCAGGGACATTTGGAACTTTCTGGAGACATTTTAGTTATCACAACTTGGGAGGCGATGTAACTGGCATCTAGCGGATAGAGGCCAAAGATGATATTAGACATCCCACAGTACACAGGACAAAGAATTATCTGGTCACGTGCGCTTTGGGGTGGTTATTAAGTGAAGTAAGGGTTACTTGAGCACAAGCTCTATGATACCGTGACAATCTGATAACAAAGCCAGCTAGTGAACGACTAATGGACAGGGAGTATATACAGCGTGGATACGCTGGACAGAGAGATGATTCACATCCCGGGTGAGATGGAGCAGGACAGCTCGAGATTTCATCACGCTACTCAGAACAGTGCATAACTCAAAACTTATGAATTATTTATTTCCAGAGTTTTCAATTTAATATTTTTGGACTGCAGTTGACCACAGGGTAACTGAAACCTTGGAAAGCGAAACTGCAGATAAGGGGAGGACTACTGTATTTTAAAAAGTCTTCCCAGGGAGCTCCGATGTGCAGCTCGGGTTGGGACCCATGCATTTATATTGACAGGGCTTTGGCATTTTCTAGATGGGCTCCTGCCAGATTTCAACGGGCTGTAACTTTTCTATTCACCTCAGATAAAATATTCATATGACCATTGTATTAAATCCAGTGAGTCATGTAGGAAAACTATGGTGATTAACAGAAAGCCAGTTCTCTCATTTCATTCACTATATGTGGCTTTTACCCTTAATAACAGATATTATGCAAAGAGCGTTTTGGAATTCCAAGCTCTTGCCATCTTTTCTAGTAAATGTAAAATGCAGTAAATGGAAAAATACATTTTTAGCCAGTTAAAGTGTGATTTTGCTGGAGGCTGAGAAGAAATTTCCAGCTGGGCCCTACTCTAAGAAACTCCAGCCTTTAAATAGAAAAATATTTTCTTAAAAGAAAAAGTATCTCATGTAAGAAAAGCCAAATTTTACAAAATTATTCACTTTTGATTCCTTTAAGAAGGCTCTCTTGAATGGTTTAGTAAAGTATTAAATATAATGCTATTACAATAATTATGAATATTGTGCAATGGCATAGAAAAATAGATATAATTTAAAGAATATCAAATAGTATTGACACTGAATGCAGCCACCTAAAAATTTGAGGGCATGTGGATGACGATTGGACGGCAATATGCCAAAGAGAAAATGGCTGCCAAGTTGGAAACAACTGAAATGCCCATCAGTAGACAACTGGAAAAAGAAATTGTGGTACATTCATACAATGGAGTATTACTGTACCATAAAAAAGAATGAAATATTAACCATTTGCAACAACAGGGATGCAATAACGTGAATATTATTCTAAGTGAAATAAGTCAGACTGAGAAAGATAAGTACCATATATTTCACTTATATGTGGAATCTAAATAACAGAATAAACATGCAAACAAAACAGAAATCGACTCATAGATACAGAGAACAAACTGATGGTTGCTAGATGGGAGGGGAATTGGGGGATGAGGGAGAAGGTGAAGGGATTAGAAAGTACAAATTGGTAGTTATAAAATAGTCACGGAGATGTGAAATACAGTATGGGGAATATAATCAATAATGTTATAAAGACTATGTAGGGTGTCAGATGAGACTGGACTTATCATGGGGATCACTTCATAGATTATATAAATGCCCAACCACTGCACTGTACACCAAAAACTAATATAAAATAATATTGAATGTCAACTATAATTAAATATATATATGTTTATATGTATTTAATATATATAAAAATATATATATTTATATAATATATATAATCTGACAATTAAGTTTGTGAACTTGGTGCAATGATGTTGCTAACCTTTTTTTAATATTAGAGGGATTATTCATTATGAATTTGTATCAACTGGACAAACGGCTAACTAAATTTACTATTTGGAAGTGCTGAAAAGGCTGCATGAAATAGACAACCTGAACTTTTGGCCAACAATTCATGGCTCTTGCATCATGACAAGGCACCAGCTCACACGAAACTGTCTGTGAGGGAGTTTTTAGCTAGTAAACAAATGACTGTATTGGCACACCCTCCCTACTCACTTGATCTGGCCCCCAATGACTTCTTTCTTTACCCGAAGATAAAGGAAATATTGAAAGGAAAACATTTTGATGACATTCAGGACATCAAGGGTAATACAACGACAGCTCTGATGGCCGTTCCAGAAAAAGAGTTCCAAAATTGCTTTGAATGGTGGACTAGGTGCTGGAGTCAGTGCATAGCTTCCCTAGTGGAATACTTCAAACGTGACCATAGTGATATTCAGCAATGAGATATGTAGCACTTTTTCTAGGATAAGTTCGTGAACTTAATTGTCTGACGTGTGTGTGTGTGTGTGTGTGTGTGTGTGTGTGTGTGTGGTCACGGGATATAAAGTACAGCATAGGGAATATAGTCAATAGTATTGTAATCACTATGTAGGATGTTAGAGGGCTAGTCGACTTGGGGGGAGGTTATCACTTTGTGAGGAATGTAAATGTCTAATCAGTATGTTGTTTTGTATACCTGAAACTAATAAAAGAAAAATAGCTGCCAAGTTAAGGTAGAAGGATTATAGGTATTTTTCCCCCCAAAGTTGTTTAGTTATTACATCATCCTTTCATTTCAAGAAAGTTTTATTGTAAAAAACATATTAGTTGTCTGACAAGGTGTTTTGAACTCCAGGAGGCCCACTGTTGTGAACCCATCTTGGAATTTATAGTGGAAATCAATGATCAAAGTGGATGAATCCAACTTACAGAGTTTTAGTTTACCTGTGGCATATAAGGGGCATATAAAGTGAGATAGACTCATTTTTACTGACTCAGAAAAATAAACCCAACAGGACCTGGTGGGTGACAGGCCCCTGAAGGCCACAGGTTGGTGTGAGACACTGATATGCTCTAGCCAGCCTGTACCAGTTTTCAAGGGCAGTTTCTAAATTTTCAGGAATTTCTGAGCTGGGTACTAAACCTAGACATTATACAAAATTAAATTATATAAACTTACAATTAAATAAATTATACTAAAGCAAAGTTAATGAAAACTCAAAACTCATTACTTCCTAATTATTTTATTATACCTACTATTATTTCTTGCTCTTGAGGTTGTCTACACCTATTGTATCTGTGTGGTGGAAATACCATATGATAGGATGGTATTAGTAGCTTGAAATTGGCCTTGGAGGGAGTGTTTACACCAGAGAAATCAGCAAATGCTAAAAATCTGGGCTCCCTCCCCTCAACTTTGTTAACAATTTATCAGCACATCACAGTTTAAGGTCTTCTGGTTGACTTTTGGCAGTTTCCTTACCTTAACCTCAATGATCCAGTGCTGAAAGAATGATTCGGGTCTAGTTTTTCACTCAAGGACACACGAGTTCCTTAGCACCAGTTTGCAGTTCCACCCTAGCCCCACAGGGGGAGCAATCTTTGCAGGCCTGAGAGGCACTGATTCCACTCACCTGGCTTTTCACCAGTTTAGGCAGGGTTGGCACCAGGAGGCTCATGACCTTGTTGGCTAAGGGGTTGACCATGAAGGAGAGCCTTCCGGAGAGGAGAAGGGGAGAGAGATTAGGAAAGGTCAGAAATGATCACCCCTCCCCTGTTTTACAGAAGGGGAGACTGAGTCCAGAGGAGGAAGGAACTTGCCCAAGATTACATGGCCTGTAAGAGGCAGAGCTGCGAGTAGACCCCAAGCCAGGTGTAGACAGTAGCAGAGAGTTCTCTGGGATCAGACTGGGGGTTGTCCCAGAAGTGTGTGCTGGACACTGGACTGATGGCGTTTGGCACTTCTCCCCGTTCTCCTGCTGAGGAGACGTGGAGGGAAGCACTATGTTTTTTGGGCCCCTGCTGTGCGCGATGCACTCTGCCCAGTGCTTGCTTGTGGCTGTGGCTTGAGCTAATCCTGTCACTGCATTTTGGCAGGTGAGGCACAGGGCGGCGACTTGCCCAGCAACACCCAGAGAGGAAACGAGAAGATGCATTTGCCTGACTCCAAAGCATGTTTTTACACGTGGATCCATGCAAGCCTGCCTGGGATGGCTTGAGGGCCCTCGCAAGGTGGCTCCTCTCCACCTTGAAAGCTTTTCCCCACTTCATGGCATGATGCCTGAAACCCCATCATTATGGCTTCCACCCTTGATGTCTTGAACTTTCTTGGCCTCACAGATTCCCTGAAAGGAGCCCCAGATCAAGAGTCAGGAGAGATGGACTCTTTCTTTCTCTGAGCGTCAGTGTGCTCCATCTGTAAAATGGGGCAAGGCCGCCACCCAGGTTCCCGCCCAGGCATGGTGGGAGCCCAGCGGGAGGTGGCCATACTCACTTATGCAGCAGACGGATGCGCAGGCTCCCCTGACTGTTGGAGCATTGGTCGAGGACAAGTTGGGCGTCGCCCCTCTTGCTGGTCTCTACTCGGATGATGGCTTGGGCCTCCATCTCCATGTGCATCTCCACAATGGTCTTGACCAGGGGCCTGGGAGTGGTGCCCGAAGCTGTGAGCACCATCCCAGCCCCAGGCTAAAGCAAACCTTCTGTCCCTCTTTGTCTTCTGGCTCCCTCACCTCCCTTCCTAAACTCTTTTGCTGGGTTCTCCTCATCTGCCCAATTTTTTTTTGTTTGTTTGTTTACCCCAGCATGTCTCAGGCTCAGTTTTTTTATTCTTCTCTTGGTTTAAATCCTCTGCATATGACAACAACTTCCAAATTTACACCCAACCCCCTACTCAGGTGTCTAACAGGCGTCTCAAATTTAACATGTACAAAACAACCCGTGGAGCTTTCCCAAGCCTGCTCGTCTCATGTTCTTCCCCATCTTGGTTGCTGGCCTCTCCATCTTGCATAGGCAATCACCTTGGAGTCAGCCTTGACTCCTCAATCTCTCTTCTCTCTCTTCCCTCATATTCAATCATTAGGAAATCCTATTGTCTCTACCTACCTCCAAAACATATCCAGAACCTGACTGCTTCTCACCGCCTTCCTGCCCTCAGACCCTGGTCCAAGCTATCATTGTCTCCTCCTGAATTATTTCAGTAGTTTCTGGATGGCCTCTCTTCCTCCACTCTTGCCCTCGTATGCAGCAACCAGAGCGTTATTCAAAATGTTAAATCATGCCATGTCCCTCCTCTGCTCCCATCTCCTCAGTAAAGCCAAGTCCTCGCCTTGGTCCACAGGCCCTTATGCTCTGGCCTCGGCTGCCTCTGGCTTCACCTCCTACCATTCTCCCTTTCTTCCCCGCCCCCTCCCCACTCTGCTATTCTTTGAACAGAGCAAGTGTACTCTTGTCTCGGGGCCTTTGCACGTTCTCTCCCCTCTACTTAGAACTCTCTTTTCCAGATACTTGCATGGAGGAAACAGGGGAATGAGTGGATGAGCATGTCAGGCCTGCTGCACCTGTCTGAAAGGATACTCACGTGTTGAATCCGGCCACCATGTCCACGGGGATTTTGACCATTATCTCCTGGCCATCAGCTGAGGGCTGCAACTGCAGCTGGAGGATGCTGGCTGAGGTGACTTTCAGCCTGGATGGGATGAGGGAGAGATGAGATTCATCTGAGCACCGTCCCCAAACGTGATCCTCTCCCTCTTTCCTGTCTCCCCTGGTGCCCAGCCGGCAGCTGGACCCAAGCCTAGTCCACTGACTCCTCCCCAGCATGGCCTTGCCCCATCCCTACCCCTTTCCTCGGCTCACAACTCTCCCGTGGCTTCCCCTCACTTAGGAGATGAATCCCAGCTCCTTGGACTGACTTGTAAGACCCTCTATGACCTGGCCTAGTTGGCCTCCCAGTTATCACCTTGGGGTTCGAGCATCAGCCATGCTGACTGACTCCCACCCCTCTATGCCTTCGCCCAGGCTGGCCCCTCTATCTGGAATGTCATTTTCTTCTTGTCTCCTGGTGAGCATGGAGTCATTGGCTCACCTGTCACCTCCACTGAGAAGCATCACCTTATCTCTTTGTCCTCTCACCCCAGGTGACCTCCCTCTGGGGTCATTCTATTAGAGTTCCTTTGTGACTATCTTATGGTTATTGTTAACTCCTCTGGGAACTTCTGAGGAAGGGACTTCATTTGTTCTATTCTTTGTGGTCAGGCATAGAGTTGACACCAATTGATGCTTGTTGACTGATTGGGTGTGCAAAGTGTGTCCTGGGCAGAGGTGTGGCAAGGAGCTCCCAGTCTGGTGCTGCTCCACTTACCAGATAATCAAGTTCAGGACAGAGTTCACCAGGCTGCCTAGTATGCGGATGCCCCCAGCCGGCTCCTCCCTCACGGCGCTGAGCAGAGGCAGCTGCTGCAGGATGTTGACAGCATTGTGGTTCTTCAGCTGCTGTGTCAGCCCTAGAAGCAGATTCCAGGGATTAGGGGACAGCAGGAGGAGCAAGAAGGATGGTTCGGTGGGGGCTTCAGGCTGAGACGAGGCATCACTCAGGGCTACTCAGACTTGGGCACAAGGCGAGGGTATGGATGGCTCTGTCCTAACCATCTCCTCTGTGTAGATGTGGCCTTGAGGATGATGGCCCAGATGGGTCATTTTCACATCAAGACCAAAGCTGGCACGTGAGTGGGACCATTCACTCCCCTGAGCATTGCCAGCTTCTGCCAGGAGTATTGACCAGGACACTCGGCCCATGGACCTGCACCCCTCCCACCAGCCAGCGGCAAACAATTCCAGAGCCAAGAGGCATGGAACCCATAAGGTCCTGTTTGGGACTGTTTTGCTGCCAGAACACACTTGCTAACAATTCTCTGGCACCTACATCCTATGGACCTGTTGTCCAAAGAGCCTCAGGTGCTGAGCAGAGAAAGGAGGTGGCAAGGTCAGGGGTCTGTGATCCAAGAACCCCGCCGGACTCTTTCCCCGGCCACCCGAGCCCATTTGGCGTGTGTGCAGAGCAGGCCAGAAGCGCTGGACAGATGATGCTCGGGAAGCAGCCCTCAGCCAGTGACTGATGGGAACTGGTGTACAAACACCCCAGCTCCATCAACCCTCGGGCAGGATGACTCACGTGTGTGTGCCCCACGGCGTCCCAGTGTCCCTGTGTGTTATTACCTCTCAGTAACAAAACCACTCTTTTTGCCTGCTCTGTGGTAACAGACATGGGCCCTGTAAATATTCCACCTTTGCCAGCTGGTGCAATTTTAAGTTAAGCCCTGTCGGTAGAGGCTCTGCAGGGACATGGAGGAGGAAGGGGCTCCCCCTTCTGGCCCTGGTGTGCTCCTCTCACCAGGCTCCTGTGGTGTCACTGTCCATGGCTGTGAGTTCAACAGCACTCCCGGGGACAGCTAGTGAGTACTGAGGACACCCCAGCTAGCCTCCAGGCAGTTTCCAGGACATAGCTTCTCTGAGTCAATTGCAAACCCCTTCTTCAGGGGCAGCTTTCCAGAGAATGCCACTGACTCCCCGAAGGCAGTTTTCTGCCCGCTGGCCTCAGCCTGCTAACTGTGGACCAGCTCTGACCTGGGACAACTTGGTGTGGAGTGGGCTTCAACCACACTCCTCCCAGGAGGTCTGGGCAGATTCTCCCTCCAAGTTTATTCTGTCCTTGGATTAGCCTCCCAACCTCCTCAATCCCAGGGGTATTCTTTAGAGGTCTTTCTTTTTTCCTTCTTAGACAGTTCCCCATGACTCCAATCCCTTGTTCATAACTCTTTGTACAAACTCACCATTGGGCTTACCATGCAATTTCTGCTCCTGACTGGCCCTAACACAGTTGTCCAGTAGGAGGACTGAGCTGCAGCTGCCAGCGGTGACTGGCCTGCCCTCACCTGCCTTGCTTCCCACTCTCCTGCAGGTGTTTCCTGTGATCACTTCTAATTACTTTGAATTTTTTTTTCTTTTTTTTAGTTGAGCCATCCTGCCACCTGTTGGCAGCTCAGCGGCAACTCAGCTCAGGCCGTGAATCAAACCGGCGACCCTGTTGCTCAGAGCTCGCACTCTTGAGCGAGCTCTTAACCAACTGAGCCACTCGGCCGGCTCCTGTGATCACTTCTAAAACCAACCACTTGCACACAGCTTCTCAACTCAGATTCTGCTGCTGGGGGCACCTAAATCATGGCTGCTCCTTCTGGCTGACATTCCATGTACGTGCAATTCACAGTATGGGCCCAGGGCACCTCCCAGAACACTCTGCTCCCGACTGTCCCTACTTGGGGATCCCTTCTCTGTCTACAGTGCCTGTGTGGCCCTGGGGACCTGGCCCCACCCCCTGCCCATCCAGCCCTGGCCCAGGCCCACCGCACACAGAAGGTGGGTCTCTAAGTGCTTTAGATGGACCTCCAGAGCCAAGTGATTATCATCCTCTCAGGGGACAACACTTCGGAGTGGTGATTCTCAACCAGGGTGATTCTATCCCCTAGGAGACATTTGGCAATGTCTGGAGACTGTTTTGGTTGTCACAACTGGGCTGAGGGTGCTGCTAAACATCCTAGAAAATACAGGACAGCCCTCGCTTCCCTGCCCCCCTACCCCCCCTGCGCCAATAAAGTTATTTGGCCCACAAGGTCAGAAGTGCTGGGGTTTAGAAACCGGGCCATAGGGTTCTTAAAACTCTTGTCCCTTCCTGTCCTATTGGATAGTCCCAACAACCCAGTGAAACAGGCTCTCTTATTTGTTTCCAGAGGAGGACCTGAGGCTCAGGGCGTTGCCCAGGGCCAGAGCTGGAGGGTGATAAAGCTGTGCTGGGGGCCCAGGCTGCCAGACTCCCAGCCGACGTTCTTTGCTCTGGGAACTGGTTGCACACTGACTCTAACTCCAAGGAGGTGCTCTGCCAACGGGGCTTTAGGCACGGGCAAGGAGGAGAGGCAGGTGCATCACTGCACACAGTGTCACACAACCCTTCCGCAGGCCATGAAACCTCAGAGTAGTGCGTTTTTGGAATCATGGAATTAAGAAGAAGGGGATCTTGGAATCATCAACTCTTGGGATCATAGACACTCCCAACCTTTTATAACTCACCCACTTGAGTCTCACCCTAGACCTGGGGTCCCAACTGTGCCTTGCACACCCCCAGTGATGGCGACCCCCTCCCTCATTTGAAGGACTGCTCCACCTGCCCCCTTGCCTTATGGTGATGAGGCCTGGGTGGCCAAGACTTACTTTCTTTGATGACTTCTGGGCCGAGGCTGAGAACTGCAGGGGGGCTGAGGGTGGCTCTGACCAAGGTGGCTGCCAGCAAACCACAGAGGAGAGTGAAGGTTCTTGAGCCGGCCATCTTCCTGGGGGTCGGTGAGCAGCAGGTGGCAGGTGTCTGCACCTGGGGTGAACACAAAGGGCCCTGTTAGCCAAGCAGAGGCCAAAGGCAGGCCTACGATCTCTGGTGACTTGGGGCGTGGAGTCCAGGAGAGGCTGCTGAGGGAAGTGGTTAAGAGAGTGGACTCCGGAGCCCGACTGTTTGGGCCTGCATCCTGCCTCTTCTGCCAGGTGCTAGTTGTGTGTCCTAGCAATCAATTTAACCTCTGTGCCTCAGTTTGCTTACCTGGTAACTGGGTGTAATGAAGTAGTGCCCTACTTCAGAGTGTTTGGGACTTAAAATCCTCGATGGCCCAACCTCAGCCAACTCTACCTCCTGTTTATTCCCCTCTTGTTCTATAAAGTTTCAGGCATTCCAAGCTGCTGGAAGGTTCCAGAAAACATATCCTGTTCTCTCTTGTCTGCACCTTTGCCCTTTCCCTTCCTTCTTCCTGTAATGCCTTTAGCTCCCTGCTGAACTCCTATTCATCCTTTAAAGCTTTGCTCACGTGCCCCTTTCCTCTGTAAAGGTTTCCCTCTCCTGTAGCAAAAGACCCTGGATCACACTTGGAGAAATATTGCCCTGGGGTTCGTGTGTGCCTAGGACAGGAAGTTTGGAAGCAGGAGGGGCATGAGAATTCAGGCAAGACTCAAAGTGGCAGGAGAGCTGTTTGCTTCATTTGCCATTCTAAGGGGCCCTAGGAATAATAGATGGCTGCTTGGGACCAGGAAGAGAAAGGCAGAGAGTAAGGGAGAGGCCTGTGGGTCTCCTGGGAGAGGAGCTGGGGGTATTCTGGCCTCTTGGCTGCCCTGTCCCCTCCATGGGGTAGAGCATCAGCACGTATAACCTGGTCCTGAGCTCCCCAGTTTGCACTCTGGCTCAGCCTCTACCCTCTATGGAAGCTTCTGCCTCCTGTGGACTGTCCTGCTTGGAGGGAAGGAAGGTGCTGACCCAGAGACCCAAGCCCTTGTTTGGCTCAGCATGTGGGTTTCTTGTTGTCAAAGACAAACATGGCATCGGGATGCCATGTGTCTACTATGAACTGGAAGAGCGTGAGCTATTAGAGACACTTGCAATAATGAGTCAACATCTGCCTCCCTGAACAGGCCATGAGCTCTGGGAGGGAGCGTTGGTTCTACCTGCGCCCCATTGTGTCCCCAGTACCCAGCATAGTGCCTGACACACAGTGGGTGTTTAATAAATAAATTGTTGCTGAATGAATGAATGGCCTCGAGGAGCCACAGAAGAATGGGGAATCCAAGCCTGCTAAACTGATGAGGCCTAGGCCATGGAGACCTCTGTGAAGCCACAGGACCCCCATTCCTGTGTGTCAGGAGGCCTGAGGGTAGAGGAGAAATATCATGGGCCTCAGAGTCAGACTGACACAAGTTGGAGGACCGCCTCTACCGCTTGCTGTGGGATCTTGGGCAAGTGACTTACCCTCTCTGAGCCTCAGTTTTCTCTTCTGTAAAATAAGGGATAATAATAATACTTACATCACAGGGTTGTTGGGAGGATTAAATGAGACAATCCATTTGGGGCCTGGCATGCCACAAGAGCTCAATGAATATTAGCTGTTATTATAATTATGACAGTTATTATTACTAATACTGGGGTCAGAAAGAATAATCTTGCAGTCAAAGCCAGAAGACAGAGACGACGCCCTGCACTCTGCTCTTTTGCCCAGTAGGTCCCCCACCCGCCTCTATAACCTTTTTCTTTCAAGTACCGTGGCTCTGTTTTCCCTCCATTATCTTTGCACATCACTCTATCCTCCTCTGCTTAGAGGTGCTCAGGGAACCAAGAGGATGGTAGCATCCGTTCTTGTGGAAAAGTGTCTCCTCCCCAAATACCAGCACCATACACACACCCATCACATTGTATCTTGCTTCCTGGCCTTTCCTTAGGCTCTTTGCTTCCCACGGGATGCCTTCTCTCCTCCTTTATCCAGCCAACTTCTACTCGGCTCCTCGACTGACATGTCACCACTTTCAGGAAGCCTTCCATGACTGCCCTTCACCACCATGTCCTTGTTGCTTTCCTTGGGCACAGCACATACCACACTGGTCCATACTGGGAGTCCCCTGAGGGCCAAAACTCTGACACTTCTTGTCCCTAGAATCACCCCAGCACAGGGCTGAGCACAGAGGAACTGGTGTGTGCAGAGTGGGTTTCTGTCATCAGGGTGAAGTCAAGGTAAAGACTCAGCCAGTCTGATTTCTTATCACTGCTCTTTGCTCTTCTGGATAAGGGAGCTGGGTGCCTCTCTACCCCCTGGCCCTGACCCTCAGAGGGTCCTTGTGGACTAAGGGTCCTTACCTCAAGGCCAAGTCTATCCCCTGCTCCTGACCTAACCCCAACAGGTGTCTCCAACTCAAAACCTTCCTGGTGCCCTAGGCTTTCGGCCCCTTCTCTACACTTTTACCTGGACACGTCAGAGTCCTCAGCCTACTCCTCTCCTCGCCTGGGCAGCGGGTCTGGAATTCTGGCCTTATATCCTACATACTCTGGGCTAGGCAGTCAACCTTTGCATTTGGGCTGAGGCCTCAGACTGGGCCAAGGCCTCCAAGGAAAATATTTGTGGCTCCTGTTGAACCACATCCTTGCCCAGAGGCGGCCTCAGATCTCCAGCTTCCTGAGGTTTGGAAAAAGGAGGTCGTAGATTGGCATGAAGGGTGGGCGGGGCACTGGGGCATGTGGCAGGCAGCTGGACCAGACACGTTTTGGGCAGTGCACAGGGCTCCCTACCTCCTGGGCAGTCATTTCCATAGGGACAAGGATGAAAACAGTAACCGTGACGATGTATGAAGCACCTACGACGTGGCCGCTCGCCTCCTCAGGCTTTACATCGGTTGTCAGTGGAGTCTCAACCCCACCAGGGTCAGCATCGTTAGCCTGACTTTGCCACAGAGGAACCAGCCTCACACAGTCAGCAAATGGCAGAGCCAGGATTCGAACCAGGACTCTGACTTCAAAGCCCACCTAGGGATGTCTCCACCGCTTGGTGGACACAGGAGTGTCCTGGGGACAGACCGGGTTTGAGTCCCGGCTCCACCATTTCCACGCTGTGTGACTGGAGGCACATTCCTTCACCTGTCCCAGCTTTACATCTATGAAATGGGAGTAATGGTAGCACCTACCTCCTAGGGTGCTGACAGGAACACAGTGAATATGATTTGGAGCATAGGTCCTGGCACAGAGTCAGTGCTCAGTAAATGTGAGCGGTTGTTGCTGTTGTTATAAGTGCTTGTAATAGAGTGAGCCACTGTAGAGAGGATATGATCATAATTTAGTCCAGATAATGCACTTGGGGGATGGAAGTTCTAGTCTTGCCCATCCCTGATTCCTAAATGCACCTGAGGATTTAGGAATACACATCTCCATTAATTAATTCACTCAAGAGAATAGATTTGAATCCCATTTTTTTGCAACATCTTCGCTGTGTGACCCTGGGCAAGGTACTTAAGCTCTGAGCCTCGATGTCCTCATCTGTAAAATGGGGATAATAGTATCACCTCCCTCACAGGTTGCTGAGATCATGAACTGAGGTACATGCTCACACAGCACTTAGCATACGCTTTTATTCCTTTCTTCTGCAGTGGTCGGCACCCGCTTACCCTTGCTTATGCCTTCCAGAATCTCAGCGAATATTTGTGTAGCGAATGAATAATAAGGCAAGACTATGAACCAAGAGGACAAATGAACAGCCCCACAGGAGTCCCATCATCCATTGCCCAGGCACAGGCCCCACTTAAACTGCACAGTCACCCAGAGGTGGGGGTCAGCAGCCCTGGGTTTACCGAGGGCATCTGAGGCTCAGAATGGTGAGTGACTTGCTCTAGGTCCTGCAGCCAGGAGTGCCAAAGCTGGGACTTGAGCTCCATCATTTAGTCCAGACTACACGTTTTTTACTACCATGTTCCACGCTCCCAGTAACTCCGGCAGGGTAGGAGGTAGACAGAGCCTTTTCACATAATCTGGGTAACCATGCTTGCTGCCTTACTTCAGTCTAGAAGCCAGGTTATGATTCAGAGCTGGAAGGGCCCCTGCTGAACCTGTGTCCATGTGCAGAGGGACAAGAGAGGGGTAGACAGTGACCTGGGTCCATACAGAGTGTGACTCGGCCCTGGCTGGTGTGTGACTGGGCCCCAGAATGTGGAAGGGGAATAGGGCAAGAGTGTTTGCTATTCTGCCATGTTCACAAATGTGCTGAAGGCCCTGAACCCCTAAGGGTGAGGCCTCCCGGGAAGGACCCTGCCCATCCCTTGGGCACATCTCCAGAGAGGCAAATGTCCCCTCCTGGGCTTCCCGTCCTGGGCTTCCCAGCCGGCCACGCCTGCTGCCCATGGACAATGCCTCTCTGTGGGAGGCCTGAGCCCCGTGCCAGGGCCTGGGCCACATCAGCTCCTGTTTCCTGCCTCTCGGTCCCCTGCATACTCGCTGGGGTCAGCAAGCACAACCGGGCCTCTATAGATATGGCACATCATGGAACCCACGGGTCACCGCGGTCCTGCCCTCAATGCTGCTCAGCCCCCCTTCCTTAGACTCCCAAGGGCCTCTTTGTTCCGGCTTCACCCCTTCCCAGCTCCCAGGCCTTTGATTGTGCTGTGTCCTCTTCCCGGAGTGCAGTGCCCACCCCCCGACAACTCTGTCTTGCCCTGTGTGGGCAGCAGAGCAGGAAAGCCTCTGGGGCCCAACCCACATGGTTCAACCACTGGTCCTGGGCTGGTCAGCTGTGAGCGGGGAAAATCACTTTTTCTCTCTGAGCCTGTTTCCTAAGTTGTAAAATGGGACTGTTTTGAGGGCCACATAAGACAATGTGAAATGCTTAGAACACCATGGAATTCAGTAAATATTATTATTATTATTATTATTATTATT